TATTGGGTTGTCAACTAATTTTTGTCGTTTTTTTCTAAAATTTTCTAGAACATTCGAGAAAGTTCTAGAAGTTTCCATTCTATGGGTATATATATAGAGTGTGAATATCTTTCGAATGATAATAAAACTATCGATATGGACGTTGATCGTAAATTGGAAATGAATCTTTCTCATAGAGAGATTCGAGTGCTTTTACTTCATGAATTCCGTCTGGGTCGCAGAGCAACGGAAGCAACCAACAACATATGCAGCACGATGGGCGGGGATGTACTCTCCATCCGTACGGCACAACGCTGGTTCAATCGTTTTAAGAACGATAATTTTGAACTCGACGATTTACCTCACTCCGGTAGACCAATGGAACTCGATGTGGATCTTTTAAAGCAGCTTATCGAAGAAGATCCTCGATTGACTTTACGGTGTTTAGCAGAGCAGCTTGGGTGCTCTCATACTGCGGTGGAAAAACATCTGAACGAATTAGGCAAGACATGGAAATATGGAGTTTGGATACCTCACGAGTTATCACCGCATCAGCTTCAACACAGGGTTGATGCTTGTATGGATTCAATGACATCTCATCGCAACTACCAATGGCTCCGCAATCTTATCACTGGCGATGAGAAGTGGGTGTTATATATCAACTATACCCACAGGCGCCAGTGGTTAAGTGCTGGTCAAAAAGGCATAGCAACACCTAAGACTGATTCATATCCCAAGAAAGTGATGCTGAGCGTCTGGTGGGGTGTCAATGGAATTATTCATTGGAAAATTCTTCCAAATGGATGCACTATCACTGCTGATCTCTACTGTCAACAATTAGACCGAGTTGCCGAAAAACTCAAGGGAAAGCAGGATAAAATTTATTATTTGCATGATAATGCCAGACCTCATATTGCAAAGTCGACCCGCGAAAAATTATTGAAGCTCGGATGGGTTACCGTCCCTCATCCACCTTATTCTCCTGACTTGGCTCCAACAGACTACCATTTGTTTCGTTCTCTTTCGAACCATTTACGTGAGAAAAAGTTCGACGATGAGAACGACTTAAAAATGGAACTCGTCAACTTCTTCGATCAGAAATCCAAGGACTTCTACGAACGCGGGATTCTATCCCTGCCAGAACGTTGGCAACAAGTGATAGATAGTAGTGGTGAATATATCTCTGAAAACTAGTTGTATCTTTGGAGTGGAAAAATAAAAATAAAATTTTTGAAAAAAACGACAAAAATTAGTTGACAACCCAATATGAAGAGACAACATACCGAACAAATGTAAACCAAACAGGACCACGTCTTTTTCAAGGAAGAGCCAATGGTTTAAATCGAGGACCAAATGAAGCAATATTAATAGTGAATGTTTTCATGAAGTTGAATCCAAGATAATTTAATAGACATATACATTGATCTGTTATCAATTAAATTCCTAAATGAAACTTAACACTAAACATTTTGTTTTTCATATTATATTAATCTCTTTTTTTTTCCAAATTTTCATGTAACTCAAATGTTCTTTTTGCTTTCTGTTCTAGATAAACATACAGTTCTAGCCCTGAAGAGTACTATCTTGTCAAAGATACGAAACGCGTCGGCAAAATAAATCTCTACATTTTATTTAATTAACTTTATTCAAGCACATATATACATATTATATCTTATTTTATTTTCGACTTTGATCGATTGCTGAAAAGCAAGAGTTGAGACTAGCAGATTGATTTGTATCTGACAGATATAGGTCGATTTGTTTTCTATTGATTTACGTCTACTGAATTATATCAGGGATCAAATTATTCGAATAATCTTATTCTAATTTGATCCATTTCTCTCTCAACTTATTTAACGATTGATGTCGTCAATATCTTACACTAACCCAATGTCTGTACAACAGCCGCCTCCAGCAGCACCACCGTCATATGGTGGTGTTTTTGGGGACAATCAACCAAACTTTGGGGGCAATCAACCAAACTTTGGGGGCAATCAACCAAACTTTGGGGGCAATCAATCAAACTTTGGGGGCAATCAATCATACTTAGGGGGCAATCTGTCTTATTTTGGTGGCAATCAACCCAACTTTGGGGGCAATCAATCAAACTTAGGAGGCAATCCGTTTTATTTTGGTAGCAATCAACCCAACTTTGGGGGCAATCAACCCAACTTTGGAGGCAATCCATCTTATTTTGGGGTCACTCAATCAAACTTTGACAGCACTCAACCCAACGTTGGCAGCAATCAACCGAACTTTGTGGGCAATCCGTCTTTTTTTAGAAGCAATCAACCCAACTTTGGAGGCAATCTATTCAATCTTAATAGCAACCCATCCAACCTTGGGGGAAATCAAGCTAACTTTCCTGGCAATCCTTCTTATTTTGGTGGTAATCCTTCTAATTTTGGGATCAATCAATCTAATTATGGAAATAATTATCAAGGCCAAAATTATTCCAATCAGAATAATTATCGCCGTAATGTACAGCGACAACAAAGGCCAGGTAACTTAAATCAACAGCAAATACGTCAAAGAAAATCAAGTCAAAATCGTCTAAGAAAAACTGGTTCAAACCAACAGAAGCAACGGCAAAATCGTCGCCGTCCTAGGCAATTAAAATTAAATGATTTTATGCCACCATCATTACGTAATACATCACCTAATTCACGTAGTCTCCCGTTAGACTTTAATTTAGAAGCAACACGTAGTGCTCCACCTGATGCATTACCACAACGACAAATCATTGCATCAGGAAATACTACACAACCATTTCTTGTTAATCAAAATGATCAAGTTCAAGAACAACAACAACAAAATGGAAGAGAGCAGATAACAACAACAACAACGACAGCATCGTTTAGACGTCGACAACGTCGGCTTCGACAACAACGATATCGTCAGGCAAATGTTGTTAGTAATAATCGTTTTGCGGCATTGGTTGATGAAAACGTAAGTAACGATGGCGATAATAATAATAATAATAATGATGACGATGAACCAATAATTATTAAACAGAAGTATAAGAAAAATACTCGTCGTTATCTCTTGCCAGATCAAATGCTTAAATGGTTTGATAGTTTTTCAAGAACGACAAAGCCAATAGTTTCTCAACGTGCTAATCAAGCTTATCTTCTAGGAACAGCTTCCATTTATGATGCATGGGTCAGAGATAATTATGAATTACAACTCTGGCAAGCTTATTTAAAAATGGGTACTGAGAAAAAACATTGGGCCAAAGAAGTCGTTCGACGGACAAAACAACGTGACGATATTGCAAATAGTCGATTTATACAAAAGAAAATTAATCGATTATTAGCTAATATTGCTAAAGCAAATGCTACAATTATTGATTTTCAATTACAATTGATTGATTATTGGTCGTATGCAAATTCAGATGCATTAGCACAAAGAGTAGCTACATTGATAGCAGAAAAAGAAAAGACCAATCAATCAAATGCACAAATTGCGAGTTCGGCTCCTATAACGACAACTACTACAGCTCCCAGTGCGATAACAACTTCTAATGTTTATAAAGATCCAGTTCGTGAAACTGTAGATAGAATTGAATCTCAAATATTAGATTACATCTATAAGAATACATCACATGTTAAAAAGATGTTTCTAAGTCGTATTCAATTAGCTAAAGCTGAAATGGAAGAATTCAAGGCTTTAGAAGATTTCGAACAAGCAGCCACTCCATCTCAATGGAATATTCATTTGATGTTAAAATCAAAAGTAAAGTTATATTCCACAAAGAATAAAAATTATAGCGTGGCTACGAAACGTCTTGAATATGATATTCTTCCAAAATTTATTGATAAAATTGATTTCTCATTTAAAATTGATGAATCCATAGTTGGTAAAGATGAAGCACAAGCCATGTATGATCAAATGCGCAAAACTACTAAAGATTTTCGTACTCAAGCTATGACATTATATATTCAATCATTAGCTCGAGAACATGAATTATTATCTAACGAAATTAAACGTACTATTGAACATTTTCCAAAAGATAATGATGAAGGTTTTGACGCTGAAGCTGGCTATGCATCATTCAAACATTACCATGAATTACGTGAAAAACGTTTAAACTTAGAACTTGAACAATCGCTTCATTTTTTAGAAGTACAAAGAGTCGAGGGCGAAAGCAACAATCAACAAGAAGAAATAATTGCCCCGACTCCTCTTCGAGTACTTGGCCCGGAGTTCTTGCTCCAACAATAATCAATGAAGCAAATATACCATTAACTGAACAAGAACATCAATTATTAATACTAGGCCCTCGATTCATATTTAATGATCCAAAAATGGCATCTCGACAACGATCTACTGAGTTGGCTACTTTGAAACGAAAAATTGAAGCTCGTTTCTTTGATAAAAAGGTAAGCCCTGGTCGTCCTGTCGAACAATTTATTAATGAATTAGATGTCTTGCTTCAAAATTTACACAATGTATCAACAGCCAAGCAACATGGAATTATTCCAAATTTATCTCAAAATGAAAATCCTCCAATAATTATAAAAAACAAGAAAAATTATGGTCGATTAGTCAAACGATTGAGATATAAATTAAAATTAGCTGATACAATATTACGAAAAAGTGACAAGTCTAAAGTATTTCATCTAGGTAAATCCATCGATTATCGTAAGAAATCAGATGAATATATGGAGAAAACTAAAGCATATCAATGTCTTGGTGTTAATGATCCATTACCAGATTTAATTCGTCGTACGAATAAATATCTTTTAGATTTACGCTTAGCCAAATGGATTAGTCAAAAACAATATGAACAGCTAAGTATTAATCCAATTGATGTTGAGCTCGCTCATTTATATTATCTGCCAAAAGCTCATAAACCTGGTACACCACTTCGTCCTATAGTTTCTAGTTTGAAACATCCGACGACAAAAATTTCTAAATTTCTTGATGATTTACTTCGACCTCTTTTTGATCAAATGTCTTCAAAGACAACGGTTATTTCCGGCTTTGAACTAGTGAAACATTTACAAGAATGGTCAAGAAATAATTTACGTCAAGAAACATTATTTTGTACTATTGATGTGGCTGATCTTTATACAATGGTACCACAAATCGAAGGAGTATTATCTTTAAAGAAAATGTTAGACCACCTAAAAATTAAACAAATCGGTGGTCTTAAAATTGAAACAATTATTCGATTAAGTCGATTTGTTATGCAGAATAATTATTTCTCATATGATGGTCAATATTATCATCAAATTCGTGGTGGAGCTATGGGTTCCCCACTTACTTTAACCATGGCTAATTGTTATATGTTCTTCTATGAACGAGACATTGTTAAACAAATTAATAATAGCCATGGACTTTACTTTCGATATATTGATGATATTTTTATAGCAATAAATTGGCCAGCTCGACATTTATTCAAACAAATTGACCGATGGAACCATTTCAATGAAAATATTAAATTATCAGAAAATATTGGTTCAACAGCTGATTTTCTTGATCTACATATTGAAAATCAAGATGGACAATTATTTACTACGATTTACCAGAAACCATCTTATGAACCATATTATTTGCCGTTTAATAGTATACATCCGTTACATATGAAGAAAAATATCATATTTACAATGTTACTTCGTGCCATTAGATATTGCTCAACATTTCAAGCTTATCTTGATGAACGTGAAAAATTGCGAATGGCACTCATCGTCAATAAATATCCTAATAAATTTATTGATGAACAATTTAATTATGTTTCATTAAAATTAAATATTGATCAACCACTATCATGTTTTAATTATCATAACTTTCGTCAAAGAATTATAGATTCTCCAGTGAAAGAAAAGTCACCAGTAGACTATGGCAAAACAATGTTTGTCCATTTTACTTACTGCTCAAGCATGAAAATGTTTCCTAGTAAATTTCATGCTTTATGGAACAAATACTTTGGACAATCACCAATTAACGAAATTGTACCAGTGCTTGGTACCCGCAATGTAAAAAACTTACAAAGACGTCTAATGCATACAAGATCAATAAATATTGATATATAATTATGCAATCGACTAATTTACTAGACATCTAGTTCGTTTTTGTTTATTCGTCTACCTTTTTAAATATATAATTAAAATTTCCATCTTAATAGATGGTTTTAAATTATGTAAATAAAAAAGGTCTTTTTCTTCTGTAGATGCATGCAATTTTTAACTACCTTGAATGTCTATCGCTTTCCAGATATATTTACATTCAGTTTTATGTATCTGTAGTTATTTTTATTTTTTATTTTATTTTTTATTTTTGTGCTTGTATTGTTATGTAGAGCCCTGATGAGTGTTTCATTATTTCAATAAAATAACACGAAACGCGTCGGCAAAATAAATCTCTACATTTTATTTAATTAACTATATTCAAGCACATATATATATATATTATATCTTATTTTATTTTCGACTTTGATCGATTGCTGAAAAGCAAGAGTTGAGACTAGCAGATTGATTTGTATCTGAAAGATATAGGTCGATTTGTTTTCCATTGATTTATAGCTTCTGAATGATAATAAATTAGATTTTATCAAATTGTTTGGAAGTTTTCTCATAAAACTTTTGACTTTTGATGACTTCTAGTAGGAGAGTTATATACTTTAACATCATCTACTACTAAGCAATTGATAATTGACCACTTTAGCTCTGGTCGAAACCGGTCTTGCTAGCTTTAGATATTATAATTTGATTTGATTTTCGAATCATTTCAATATTATATTATTATTATATAAGAAACACACCCACACCCTCTTGATAAGTTTTTTTCATATTACAATTTATTATTGTTATATCTATTAGTTTGGAAGTTTGAATTTCTTATGAATTTAAACTTTTATCTTTTAATATAATAGTAGTAGTTGTACTAGGAGAGTTACTTATAACATCTTATTATCAAATAAGCAATTGATAAGTATTATTCTTAGCACTTATCGAAACCGGTCTTGCTAGCTATTTTGATTGATTCTTTTGAATCTTTCTATAACTACACACCCAACTATTGGGAGTTTCTCTTTTTATATTACTTATTGGAAGTTTTTACTTATTATTAAAGACTTTCTTGATAAGTTTTATTCATATTACAATTTATTATTGTTATATCTATTAGTTTGGAAGTTTGAATTTCTTATGAATTTAAACTTTTATCTTTTAATATAATAGTAGTAGTTGTACTAGGAGAGTTACTTATAACATCTTATTATCAAATAAGCAATGGATAAGTATTATTCTTAGCACTTATCGAAACCGGTCTTGCTAGCTATTTTGATTGATTCTTTTGAATCTTTCTATAACTACACACCCACACCCACACCCTATATGTATGGTATACTTTTTCCATTCCTCGTTTTTTTCTTATCAACATACAGTTTCATGTAATTTTCTTTAATTTCTTTTTTTGTCCATATCTTTGCTGTGTAATTCTTTCATGAAAACTTAAAGACACAACGATTTACTTGAAACCATTATTTCTCCATATTACATCATACCATATTTTTTTTTCATTTTAGATAAAAAAACTACTTATTATTTAACTTCAAAATATGTACAACAATGTGCAATAACATCATTAAACAGATAATACGAAAAGAAAGCATCCACTGTCACACAACTGCCACTATTCTGATACAATTACATGACCTTATTCGCACAAAGCAACAATCTGCATTTACTACCATTGAACTTTAAACAAAACATTGAATTGTAAATAATAAATCATTAAAATTTTTTTCACATCTATCCACAATACCTTGAATCTCTTTGAAATTATTGAAAGTATTTTACATCTATAACTTTCTAGTGATATATAAATATTTCGGCAGTTATTGGATTGCGAGTTGCTCGAAACTCTTCATTTCAATTGAACATAGTGTTACTACCAAAATTTTGAATACTTTAACATCATCTACTACTGAGCAATTGATAATTGACCACTTTAGCTCTGGTCGAAACCGGTCTTGCTAGCTTTAGATATTATAATTTGATTTGATTTTCGAATCATTTCAATATTATATTATTATTATATAAGAAACACACCCCACACCCCACAAATAATTTCCGTCGAAAAATATAAAAATCAAGAAGATAATATATGAGCATGTAGTTTTCCAACGAACATCTATAGGTGCTTAGAACTACTCGAAACCATGATCTGCAGTAGAAACGGCAGTATCTCGATCATTGGATAAAAGCCACTCAAAATGTTCATCTCTAGAGCTACATGAATATCCAATTCCATACTCATCACGTGACACAAAATCCAGTCAAATTGCTCAACTTTTTTTGCATATGGATAAAGTGTGAATTTTACTGATATTTTTATTTGATGGAAAAATTTTTTCAAATTTTATGCATTTAAAGATAAGATGATGATTAGTATTGAAATTTATTGTTTGAGAATTAAGTTAAAAGATAAGAAAGCTGAGTTAATGACAATAGAGTTTTTTGTGCCTGATGAAAGCAGTCAATTTAGAAGTAATGCTTTTACAAACATTGGCAAATTCAGATCAGATTCAGCACTAATAGTGGTGGTTGTCTCGTCTGAGAATGAATCCGTCAGTGTATTTGAAAAGAGTTGTAGTCCGCTCAATGATTGAGAATCCGTCTGTATTCGTTCATCCAACCTTTGTCGCCATTCGATCACATTGAGATAATGAGCTTCCATATTTTGTTGTCGGCAGATTTCTCTCCATATTGCTTTAAAAGTGACTGTATGTGTTGCAGAAAGATTGATCGTTACTTTTACTGTTTCTTCTGATTCGCCTAACTCTACAATGGATCTACTCATCTGATCGACTGGCGTAATATTGAGCGCAAAATCAGTTTCTGGTGCCGAACCAAACTCAATTAGATCCAAAAGTAGAAGCGTTAGCCAGTCTGTTTTGTTAAAATCACCTGTCGACAGAGACCATGACACGAAACCTACATCATGCAAAATTTAGAGTGCAATTTACTAGATGATGGTAGAAGTTTGCTATCTTACCGGGTCGGAATGTGCTTACTTGTAAACCTCTTTCACTAGCTTGTTCTAGCAAACATTCCGCAACTTGTTTGCTTTGGACATATCCATTTTGATGAGTTGTCTTCAAGACACTCATAGTAGATATATAATTGATTCGACAATTCGCTAAGCATGATAGTTTGATTAATTCAAGAGTGCCAAGTACATTCGCTGATCGAAGTTCAGTGTATGGTTTGATAAAGTTAACCGTCGCTCCACAATGATAAATTGAACGAACTTTCGATACTAGTATTGAATATTGATGATCGTCAAGACCCAATCGAGGAATAGTCAAATCACCAGAAAGATAAAATACGCGCGGTTGCGACACATTCGCAGAGTTTATTGAGCGAACAAGACAGTAAATGTTAGCATCAGTTTGTTTCAGTAGTTCATCGAGAAGGTAACTACCAAGAAAGCCAGTTGATCCAGTAAGAAAAATATCTTTACGGGCAATTTTGTTGGTTGTTTCGACAAATGGCTGTAGTGTTGAATCGAGTATCTTATCTTTTTCGATTAACAAATGAGACTGCGCCAATCTTTGTTGCTCCATAGTGCTCGAAAAAATGTAATCAGTTTCATCATAAATGTTTTCATGTGTGAGTAGAATGCTCATTATTTTTTTGCGATATCGATTTTCAAGCTCTTCCCGATCCATATTTTCCAATAATGTTAGTCGAGATTCTTTAGCAATACGCAGTGACCCTCTCTCAATGAGGACAACCCATGGAATTTGAAAGTAATTGAGTTGATTCAACTTTGAAATCGTCTCCAATTCTTCCAGCACAGTCTTGTCGTCTGCTTGAGAAACAATTATGGCGGCAAGTCGTTGTCTTGACCGATTATTCTCAATAAATCGAGGATCAGCAATACAAATAATATATATCTCTTGGATTGTCGCAGAAAGATAGATTTGTTCAAGTTGTTCAACATTGATAATTACGTATTGAGGAAGATCAACGATACCCTTACGACGAAAGTAAAGTGTAATTCCTGAAGAAGGTGACGATCGATCCGTGGTTGAATTGTCTAATAAGTAGAATTAGAAAACAAAGCATTAATCTTGCATAGATAAAAAATGATCTAGGATTCACTTGTTTCTAATTCTCAGAATCACTATGAGCAAGGAAAAACTAATAACTATCCCCATGAAATATATTTGGAATCATTTAGCAATATTATTATAATATGTGACATGTTAGGATGTGATTGAAGTGCGTATTTTAGCGTGACTTTTTTATACACTACGAACAAGTTATCTATTAGTGGAATTCTTATTTTTCTGTTTCAATGAAAAAACTCATAAAGTATGTTCATCTCTTAGTATTAACATATTGTCACATAATCTCATTAAACCAACTACGTACATCTCATAAAAAATGCATTTCGAGAAAAAATTTCAGTTTTTGAGTTGGAACGTGGCTAGCATAGACTACAGCTATGCAAATACTCTTATTGCTATCGTTCTGAGTGGTTATTTATGTAAAAAAGATCTATAAAGTCAGATAAGTCTTCATATTAGAGCTTAATTACAACATCTGAGTTTTGATCTTCTCTACAGTCATAATAAGCTTTACTATGGGATATTGCATATCTTTGCAGTAGCCTCTACACATACTGTATTAGTATCCATTACAGAATGAAATATACTGAACGTAACCCATCGATTACCAAAAATAGACTGTTACCTAAACTGGAATACAACAAGAGCCAAGGTGCTTCATCCTGTTGTATACAACCTCTCGAATTATTGATGAGTTGTGCATGGTCAGATATTGTAGAATATTGAATCAGTTGCGCCATATTGACATTACTGGTATCCAGATTAAAAATCATCTTATAACGATGAAACAATTGCATGAGAAGAAGAGAATGTCCGCCAATGCTGAAGAAACTCATATTAGTCGATATATTTGGACGCTGAAGAATTTCACACCAAAGTGAATGAATTTGCACTTCTAAAACATTATTCGGCTCTGTATGCGGGTCGCTGTTGCTAGGTAATGACAGTAATGCAAAGTTTGGTGATGGTAATTGTTTTCGATCTATTTTTCCATTTGCATTCAGAGGTAATTTGTCAAGTACAATAAATAATGATGGAACCATATGAGGTGGAAGATGAGTTTGACAATGTTTGCGTAATTGTTCTGCATCGATGTCAGAGCTTTGAACATAAGCAATTAAATGATCATCATCCCATTTAATGACAACACAAGCAGAAACTGATGTATTAAGTAAACATTGTTCAATTTCTCCAAGCTCAATACGTTGTCCATGTAGTTTGATTTGATGATCTTTTCTCCCTCGATAATGAAGAAGGCCATTGTGATCCATTTTAACAAGATCACCTGTTCGATAAAATATATCACTGTCTATCATAATAAGTGCTTTTGCTGTCAAATCATTACGTCCTAGATAACCAGCAAAAACGCCGACACCTCCAACGTATAATTCGCCTTCTTGCGAGATAACAACACACTGTAACCAACTATCCAAAATCAAACATTGGTAATTAGGTAATGCACCTCCAATTGGAATGCTCTTTGTGTCGGACGTAATATCAACAATATGAGATATACAACCAATAGTCGTTTCAGCTGGCCCATATAAATTCCATATTCGACATGTTGGTGTTACAATATTTCGAATTAATTTCACTAATTTTACTGAGTAAGCTTCACCTAAAAGAATTAGATCTCAAAATATATAATAAAAAATTGATTTAAAATATACACACCAACGCAACATACTGAT